TATTATTATTAATCATGATTGTAGGTTAAGTAATGGGTGAAATTATTGTGGGGAGGAACTGGATGGTTTTTGCACCTGAGCCATGATTTCGAGCATTTGAGCATTAATGATCTGTAATTATTTCTGTTGTTCAACGATGATAGAGGCTTGTTCTTTAATAATTGCTTGTGTTTTAAGGTCAATGGGAACAGGTGACTTATTAAAGTCTTCATCCGAAGAGAAATTGGCAATATGAACTCTTTTTTGGGGGTAGAGGTAGACGCAGATTACTGCGCAATAGGCCTGTTATTCGGAATGTTTGATGGTAAAGAAAAAGGTGAGGTATAGATAGTTGATTGAGCCTTTTCTAATTTAGCAATGCGAGTTTCAAGATCAGATATAGCCTTTTGCATGCCCGCGAGCATACTGAGAATTTTGTCTAGCTTATCATTGGTCGTATTGTTATTATTATTAGGATTGTGAATTGAGTTGTCAAGCGAAGAACCTGCAGAGCCTTTGTCTTTAGCTTTGCCTTTATCTGTTGCAGGTTTGGTTTTTTCTTTAAAAAGGAATGATTGGTTATTGTTAGATTGGTGATCGTTATGTTTTGTGATCAAAGATTTGGATCCTGCTGGCTTAAAATGATTGTATAGTTTTTGAACAGAGGGAAGCTTATAAACTGGAGTTTTAGGTTGATCGATAGGATCGTCATTTACTGGTGAAACGATTTGGAGACATTTTATGACTATGTGTTCTGGAGAACCACATTTATGATAACATTGTGCATCAGCTGAGCACCATTGGAGTTCGTTGTTGCCGAACGTAAAAGATTGTTTAACAGCATTGTTAAGGTTTGCTTCCGTTTCAAAGTAAAAAACTGCAAAGGGTCAAGGTATATAATTGTTAGAACGAGGGATGTAGAGGACTTTAGCTTTGGTAGCTAAGGTGATGTCTTGTAGATCCCTAGCGGAGGTATTGAAGGGCAAATTGGTGAGTCTCATTCTGAAATGATTACGTTGTTTGACTTGTTCTGGGGTAAGGCAGGCCGGGTATACTCGGACATAGTCATTGTAGATAAAACGTGACCATTGAGTATGGAAGAGATCGACACTCTTAGAATCTTCATAAGTGATGTAGACTTATTGTCAAAGATCTCTGGTGAACATTTGTACAGTAACTATCTTGCCGTATTTAGCAAATATGTTAGTGAGCTGTTCCTTTTTGAGGTTAAGGTGGATATCAGTAATACGAAGTGTGCGTTGGGATAATTGCATATTTTCTTTGTAAGTCACATACTGAACCAGCTGGTTGATATCCAAATCGGAAAATTTTGCATTAAGGGCTGATTCTATAGATTGCTGATCATTGAAATAGATCACGATCGACCGAACAAGGTTAACGTAGTGGACGTTAATTCCCTTGAACGCGTCGTCGAGAGCGAAGTGAGCATTAACAATCTTTAAAACAGTAGCAGTAGGGAGGTCTTTGAGGCTTTTGGGAATAGTTGCTGCGCAGGAAAATGGGGTTGAACGAGTAATAACTATGAAATCTTTGTTTTGATCCATTTCCATATTGGGATCATCTTCTATAGGAAGATATTTGTCCTTATCCAAGATATTGGAAGGAATAGGAGTTAGTGGTTTGAAAAAGTTTTCGATAAGAGCAGCGTCGGAAGCCGAGGATAGGTCTAGTTGTTCTCCAGAGCCAGAGGTTGAAGCAACTGGTGTCTTGAGAGTTTGTTGGTATTCTGTTAGGTTGAAACGATGATTGTTTTTCATTGATACTTGTTTGTTTTGGTTTTTTCTGACCATAGTGAATAAAAGTAACTTCTAAAATAAACTCTTTCCTGATTATAAAAGTGTATTTGGGCTGTTGTAGAACTATAAGACTAACTAACAGAGTCAAAAATATATAGGACTTTGAAGGTGAACGTTTTTATTTTCTTAGACTTTATTTTCGAAAAGTGATCGATAGGAAAGAGTTTTTTCAGTATTCTTAGATGAAGATAATTATAATAATTAAAATGAATTTAATAGTTATAATTTGCAAATTAATGGTTTTTGCAAAATTTTTTTTTTTCCTTATGATCCCAGTACTTTTTGTATTGGTTTATCACTTGTCTAAGTTTTATAACGATGTTGTTAATAATTCCTTTATTATATATATAATTTGATAGTTTGAAAAAAAAAAATTAGATTTTAAATTTTTGTCATCTTATTGGAATTTTAATAAAAAAAAAAAAAATTACTTAGCTTATAATATTCTTTTATAATTCTAATACAGTAATTATAATAAAAATTCGTTTATAAATTAATAAATAAAAATCAATAAAATCGCCTATTACTCGGTTCAAAAAAAAACCACCATGTAAAATACCCGGGTTTCTTACAAAATTTTGGCCCAAAACCCTAGGGGGGTAGTTTACACAGGGGGGGTAGTTTAGTCAGTGCTCTACGGTAAATCCAAATGATTTTAATAATCTACGTCTCAAATGATCTTTTTGTACTTCAATTGAAATTATCTTGGATATTTAAAGTTAATCGAAAGTATCGACATAATATCAAATTTGGATCATTCATTAGAAAAATACCGTCACGGCCGTCACTAATCTAAAGATTCATCTGCGAAATTTATGCATAACAGATTTTATCGCATGCATCATAAAAATCATCGTCACCATATAATTAAAAACTTTGCTTAAATTCAAACATGGTTTCACCTTTAATACCACCTTTTAGGTACGCTATAGTCGAAAACGAAGTTTATCGTGGAGCATATCCAAAAAATAGAAATTATCGCTTTTTAAAAAGGTGTTTCCTTCACACATGAAATATTATTGAACGATTTGTTCTATTTTTATTTTATAACTTAAAAATTTTTTTTCCTTCCTTGTAATTAATATGAAATTTATTAGGTTAAAACTTAAAACGATACTTTCACTTATACCTGAACAACCAGTGACCGAACTCCTAGAATTTTGTCAAAATGAAAATATAAAAAGTATACATTTACAAGTTAACCGAGCTAAAGACAACGTTCCGTTAAATTATCATAAAGCCGTTCAAACATTACAGGTTGGTCATGAATTGATTTTCATCGTTTATTCATTCATATGATTTAAATAATTATAATTTTTATTTTTATTTTTTAAGATAATAATAGATCCATCATATTTACCGATATTCATACATTGTTTAGATGGTGCAAATGTTACAGGATTGGTTGTAGCTTGTCTAAGAAAATTACAAATGTGGAGTATACCTTCAGCAATGGGTGAATTCTTAAGGTAAATAAGTTAGTTAATTGGACGATTTTGGTAAGCTGCGCCACATTACATGATAAAAAAACCATTTTTTTATTTATTTCTTTAAATATTATAGATACCTTCGTGATGGTGTAATTTCAACAGAAGAGAGTGAATTCGTAGAAAAATTTTCTGCAGAAATAGAAATTCCACGTAAAATACCACAGTGGTTATGGGGAGGTCACGTAACATTTAATAAACACCCAACATTAAAATTAAAATTTTTGGATCCAAATATTGTTGAACCATTAGAAACACAAAAAAAGAAAAGTGATGTTGAAATCGATGACAATAGAAAAAGGGCTGGAAGTAAGAATTTTAAGGAGTCATTTGTTTTTTTTATTCATTTATATAATGCTAAAGTTTCATTAATATAAATAAATAACTTTGATTTCTATGTAGCTGATTTATTAGGAGATTTATTAGAATCAACTAACACTGTAACTGAATATGAAATAAATGAGGTGATTGAAGATGAAGATGAAGAAGCGGAAGCTGAAGTTTCAATGACTTTGCAAGCTTTAGCATTAGAAGGTCTAATCATTAAGGACAAACTTAACTAAGAGCTACTTTCCTAAGTAAAGTATTAAATTAATTTCAGAATTTCTAATCTATTATTTGTTTGCATATAATGGTGAATCTGTGGCTAAAGTGTATTGTTTGCCTCCAACTGTGGCTTCTCCACCTTGAACACCGAATGTTGTTGCAGGTCCCAAATCTTCATCAGACCTCAATGATGGCCAAGAAATACCATTTGCTATTCCATCCGTTTTTTTTTTTAATGAATGTTAGAATGAATTAATAAAATAAAATAAAATTCAATTCATTATTATTAAATTTTTACCTTTCTTTAATTTTAATTCTACTTTAGTGGTGAGAATCTCATATTTGGAATTTTCCGGTTCAATTAATTGATATAAAGCATAAGTGGTTTTAAATCTCTTCCCATCAGGCATTTTCAAATCAACATTCAACTTTAATTAAATAAAAGATGGGGAGTGAGTAGATAATATATATTTTCAAATTCAAAAAAAATAGGGGGATATAATTAATTACCTCTTGTTCTTTGAAAATTATAGAAGAGCGTTGCTTATCTACCTTCTTTGCAAATATTGACATAATGACATGTGTCGGAGTTTGATACCTGTTTCCAAAATATAATTGACGAAGGCTTAGCTATATAGGAAATCTTCTAGCAATTAATAATTAAACGCTTACCAATCATGTCGACATTGCACCACCTCCTCAACATTTGTCTAATAATTAAAACCGATGTAAAGTTAATGCACGTTGAATATAAATATTTTTACCACTTATTGGTACTCACATCATTGTTACCAGATCCAACAAACAAATGCTTCCCCTTCTTGCATCCTTTTATTTTTAAAAATTCTTCAAATTCTAGCACTTTTCTAGAACAGCAACTCCAACCTAAATTAAGATTAAGATTTTTTTTTTTTTTACGTTAGAATTGCAAACAAGCATACGACCAAATAATAATAAATAAATAATATACAAAGTATTGTTACCTTTACTACCTTCATGGAAAATTGGAGTACCAGGATGATAAACGCATTCATCCTCTGATCCTAAATCTCGACTTGTTGCATCATCCACGTATTTTTTACCACATGAAGACCTCTTACATACTGTGCCTGGAGCAACAGGAATGCTTAAATCATCCTCTTCTGGCTCTTTTTCAATAGGTGAAGGTTTAGGTTTAGGTTTCTCGGTAACAGTTTGGGGGGTTGGTTGAGCGTATGGAATCTTTGGACCGGAGTCATATATCTCAACACCATCCTCAATACGTGTAGCAGTCTGCGTGGTAGGTGCGGGAACTTCTGGTTCCGATGTAGCAGTTGTATCCTTCGGAGGTTTCTCTACCTGATCTGTATGTCGTCTAATGAATACAGAAAAAAATCCGGTTAATTGAAAAATCGATGAAATTCCTATCTTGTTTCAACTTATTATTTACCCACGAGTACATCCAGGTATCGCAAGGAATTCATCGAATGTTGTAACACGACGACTACAACATTGCCAGCCCTTTAATCCTATGAATAAAAATGATCGATTGATAAAAGTAAATATTAATCTAAAAAATTATTATAAAACAATAATACAAAAAATTAAAGTTTACCTTCATGGAAAATTGGTGGTAATGGATGATAAAGACAAGCATTATCATCATTTTCTTCTTCTTCATATGTGTTTTCGCAACCTTTATGAACGCAAATTGGCATTTTTTCTGATTTTTATAATTGGTGGTAAAAAAAAAAAAAAAAAAATTCTATTATATAGATAGGTATTGTTACGGACGAAGTTTCAAAATTTTTTTCGGGCATATTTTTAAAAAAAAACCACGCGATCTGAAATTAGTTCTAGCAAATTCTAGCTAATCATAATCATAATATTCAATACATTTTTTCCTGATCCGTTTGATACACGCAGAATTCTTTTTAAGAAAGAAAGATCATCGCATCTCCAATTAAAAGCTGAAATGGTCGAAATGACGTCAAACATGCTTTATTATGTACAAAAAAAAAAAAATCTTGATTTAAATGGATATTTTACTTTCATCATTCTAAAATTAATGGTTTTTAATATTAACTTTCTTTAAATTATCTTTGTATACTTTACTGATATCAGTTAAACAAAATCAAATATCAAACATATATTACAAATAAAATAAATATTTATATTACTTAAATACTTTTTTAATAGATTTAAAGATATTAAAATATAAATAAATTATAGATTGAATTTATCATATGGGATCTTTGCAATAGAAAAGGAAGAAATAGCTAGAAAAAATCAATTTTGCTTTTATATGTCAAATATGATTTTAGGTTAAAATATGTTCAGATTTAATTCTAACTCATTTTTTATTTTTTTCAACTATTTTTTTCTTTTCTATTGTAAAGGTCCCATATCTAATGATAGTATTTTTAATCTTTTAAAATTAATAACTATCAATATATATTAATTTTGTAATTTTTAAAAATAATTTATTAAAATATAAAAAAATTAAAAAACTCTTCTCGTCGATCACTTTTCGAAAATAAAGTCTAAGAAAATAAAAATGTTCACCTTCAAAGTCCTATTATATTTTTGACTCCGTTAGTTAGTCTTATAGTTCTACAACAGCTCAAATACACTTTTACAATCAGGAAAGAATTTATTTTAGAAGTTACTTTTATTCACTATAGTCAGAAAAAACTAAAACAAACAAGCGTCAATAAAAAATAAGCACCGTTTCAACCTAACAGAACACCAACAAACTCTCAAGACATCAGTTGCTTCAACCTCTGGCTCTGGAGAACAGCTAGACCTGTCCTCAGCTTCAGACGCTACTCTTATCGAAAACTTTTTCAAACCATTGACTCCTACTCCCCCCAATGTCTTAAATAAGGACGAATACCTTCCCATAGAAGACAATCCCAATATGGAAATGGATCAAAACAAAGATTTCACAGTTATTACTCGTTCAACCCCATTTGTTTACATAGCAACCATTCCCAAAAGCCCCAAGGACCTTCCCACTGCTACTATTTCGAAGATTGTTAATGTTCACTTCGCTCTTGACGACACGTTCAGGAGGATTAACTTCCGCTACGTTAACCTTGTTCGGTCGATCGTAATCTACTTCAATGATCAGCAATCTATAAAATCAACCCTTAATGTGAAATTTCCCAATTTGGATATCAACCAGCTGGTTTAATATGCGACTTACAAAGAAAATATGCAGTTCCCTCAACGCATACTTCATATCACCGATATCTACCTTAACCTCAAAAAGGAATAGCTCACTAACATATTTGCTAAATATAGCAAGATAGTTACTGTACAGATGTTCACCAGAAATCTTTGGCAACAAGCTTACATCACTTATGAAGATCCTAAGAGTGTCGATCTCTTCTATAATCAATGGTCACGTTTCATCTACAACGATTGCGTTCAAGTATACCCGGCCTGCCTCACCCCAGAATAAGTTAAACAACGTAATTATTTTAGAATGAGACTCACCAATTTGCCCTTCAACACCTCTACTAGGGATTTGCAAGACATCACCTTAGCTACTAAAGTTAAAGCCCTCTATATCTCTCATTCAAACAATTACAAATCTCGACCCTTCGCAGTCTTTTACTTCAAAACTGAGGTAGACCTTAACAATACTGTTAAACAATCTTTTGCGTTCAGTGACAACGAACTCCAATGGTGCTCAGCTAATGTGAGATGTTGTCATAAATGTGGTTCTCCAGAACACATTATCATGAAATGTTCCCAAATCGTTCCATCAGTAAATAACGATCCTGTCAATCAACCAAAAACTCCAATTTACAAGCTTCTCTCCATTCAAAAACTATACAATCGCTTCAAGCCAGCAGGATCTAGATCCTTGATCACGAAACACAACGACCGCTAATCTAACCACAACCAGTCACCCCTTTTCAAAGAAGGAAACAAACCTGCAACAGATAAAGGCAAAGCCAAAGACAAAGGCTCCGCAAGTTCTTCAATTGATGACTCAGTTCATAATCCCAATAATAATAATAATACGACCAATGATAAGTTAGACAGAATCCTCAGCATGCTTGCGGGCATGCAAAAGGCTATGTCTGATCTTGAAACTTGCATTGCTAAGCTAGAAAAGGCTCAATCAACTATCTTTACCTCACCTTCCTCTTCACCGTCAAACGTCCTGAATAACAGGCCTATTGCGCAGCAATCTGCGTCTACCTCTACCCCCAAAAAAGAGTTCGTATTGTCAATTCCTCTTTGGATAAAGACCTTAATAAGTCACCTGTTCCCATTGACTTTAAAACACAAGCAATTATTAAAGAACAAGCCTCTGTCATCGCTGAATAACAAAAGCAATTACAGATTGTTAATGCTCAAATGCTCAAAATTATGGCTCAAGTGAAAAAACCATCTGGTTTCTTCTCATAATAATTTCACCCATTACTTAATCCATAACCATGATTAATAATAATACAAATATCGATAAAAATAATAATTACAACAATAAACATATAGAACATTCCACCAACAATCAATTTAATTCAAAAGGCACACCTACTATATCTTTTGCTACCCATAATGTTAATTCACTTCAATGTTCAATCAAAAACCAATTTATTAACGATACATTCACAGATCTTAATACGGATTTCGTAGGTCTTACTAAAACTCGATACAAGTCTGACCAATCTTTTCATTATAAACGCGACCCTGATTACACTTCTTTTTGGAACACCCGCCTTAACTCACACGCTGGAGTTGGCATTCTCGTTAAAAAATCCTGGGCTGTTTACATTCAAAAAACCTATCTGGATAATGATCAATTTATCTACATAAACTTGTATTTATCTGGATATACCAAACTTCGCATCTTCTGTGTCTATTTACATACTTCAACTGAATCTGATACTAAGACAGAACGGCTCAACCTACACAAATTAATCATCAAATATGTTTATGACAGCATCAGAGTAGATTTCAAAACTGTTATCCTAGGGGACTTCAACGTGAATCTCAAT